TCGATCACTACCCCATGTTGTACGTGATAGGAGCTTTAGGAGGTTCATCGCTTTCAGACATTTCATTTTTACATGTTTAATATGGGGAATAAACGTGAGCTTAGAATCTAAAGTAGTTCCTAGGAATTTATGCTCGCTTCTCACAGAGAGTTGGTCTCCCTTGATCGTAATATTTGGAAGTGGCATTACCCCTCGTTTGTTGGAGAAGAGTACTCAAGTACTTTTCTCGGTGTTTATTTTAAAACCATTCTCATCCGCCCATTTAGAGAATTTATTCATTCCAAGCTGCACTTGTCGTTCGCAGATAGACATATTGCATGATTTGAAACTCATCTGCACATCATCAACATACACCGAATAAAACATCGTACTTGGAATGACTGACTGCAGGGAGTTCATTTTTACAAGAAAGAGTGTGCAACTAAGCACGCCCCCTTGCGGAACACCAGTCTCTTGGGTAAATGATCTAGAGAGAGCATTTCCCACTTTTATGCGAAAGGTTCTGTTAGAGAGATAACTTTTAATTGTGTTTAGCATGTTCCCATGGATGCCCATGGCGGCAAGATCGCGTAGAATCCCGAATCGCCATGTGGTATCGTACGCTTTCTCCAGGTCTAAGAATACTGAAAGTACAAACTGCCTATGAATAAATGCATCTCTGATGTATGTCTCTATGCGAACAAGGTGGTCTGTTGTCGACCTCCCCTCTCCGAAACCACACTGAAGGGGGTCTAGTATACTGTTACTTTCTAGGAAGTGGGTTAAGCGCCGGTTTAACATTTTCTCATATAGTTTGCACAAACAGCTTGTTAACGCTATTGGCCTGTAGCTGGCGGCCAAGGATGGGTCTTTGCCTTGTTTAAGTACCGGGATGACTATTGCTTCTTTCCATGACAATGGAATATATCCAGCTTCCCACATGGTATTGAAGAGGGTTAGGAGCGTTTTTAGTGCTTCTGGGTGAAGATACTTGATCATTTCGTACGTTATACGATCGCCACCTGGCGCCGAGTTGTTGCAGTACGCAAGAGATGCCTTAAGTTCGGCTAATGAAAATGGGCAGTTGTAAGCCTCCCTGGAGGGACGTTTAGATTTAAGGGGTTGCCGCTCTTCGCGTTCTTTGAATCTTAAGAACGTTTCTGTGTAGTGCGATGCACTCGAGGCGCATTCAAAGTGTTCGCCTAGGCAGTCTGCCTGCTCCTCCAGGCTCTCCCCTTGGCTACTTACCAAGGGTAGGGGGTGTGACTCCCGACCCATTAACTTCTTTACCCTATTCCAAACCTTCGTTTCATCGGTGTAAGAGTTTATACCGGAGATGTACCTATTCCAACTTTCTTTCTTTGCAAGACGACGCGTTCTTCTGGCTTGGGACTTAACCTGTTTGAAATTGTTGAGGTTTTCAGCCGTCAGGTAATATCGGAGTAGTCTCCAAGCTTTATTTTGTCTATTGCGTGCTTTCCGACAATCGTCGTTCCACCATGGGATGCGACGTTTATTGGTCATTCCGTTGGTCTGCTTGATACATTTCACTTCAGCGTCAATAATAAAACTTGTTAGGTATGCTACAGCATCGTCTATATTAAAATCAGCTATCTCATCTCCGTCTAAAAATGTAATTTCTCGAAATAATTCCCAGTTGGCTGAATTGGTGTTCCAGCGAGGAAAGTCAGGCGAGCGTGTATCTTCTTTTGTTAACTTTAACATAATCGGGAAGTGGTCACTCCCAAAAGGGTTCTTGAGAACGAACCACTCCAGGTATGAAATTATAGCACTCGAGACAATACTCAGGTCAATAGAAGAGTATGTGTTATGTGCAGTGCTATAATACGTTGGTTCTTTTTTGTTTAGTAGACATGCACCTGACGAAAACAGAAAGTGTTCTATTAGGCGTCCTCGTGCATCTAAACGGGAGTCGCCCCAAAGGGGATTATGTGCATTTAGATCACCAACGACTATATATGGCGGAGGAAGTTCATCAATGAAGCTTTGAAATTGTGTCTTTGAAAGTTGATAGCACGGGGGAATGTAAATAGAGGTAATTGTTAGTAGCTTCCCGAATAGCACTGCTCGGACAGCAACTGCCTCAAGAGAAGTTTGGAGGTTTATTTGCTTACAGGCAACACCTTTATCAACTACTATAGCGACACCGCCTGACGAAACGGCAGCGTCGTCACGGTCTTTGCGGAAGATGGCATAATGCTTTAGAAAGTTTGTGTGGACTTGAGATGTGTCTCCTAAACACACAGCACCTTTGGAGTATGTTTATTAAGAAGTTCTCTAATATCATCCAGGTTATGGAGAAGTCCTCTCACATTCCACTGTAAGATCTGTGTATCCATTTTAGATGTGTTTTGTGCTGTGTGTTCAAGGATGGAAAGTTAGCTCATGGACCCTTTCCAGGGGCCATGACACGAGATTTTTCTTAGGCGCTGGCCTAAGGCGCTGGCTGCGCCCTCACGCTCGGTGTTGTGTCCTTAGGCGCTGGCTGCGCTTAGGCGCTGGCTGCGCCCTCACGCTCGGTGTTGTGTCCATTGCCTCTTGCGAGGCGCTGGACAAGCGCTCTTGCGAGCGCTGCATTTGTTTTGAGGGCCTCGCCTCAAAAGACGAGACCTTCGAGGCCCCCAGCCCAGAGGTTGGTGGGTCTTTCTTGGATGGCGGAGCAGCACTGGCTGCAACCGCCGAGGGGCGAATGGCGTCACCGCCGGCTCACTACGCGTGTGCCAGACAGGCGCCAGGGGCCGTCGTGGCGCTGCCCCCTGACGCACCACTTCGGCAAAGCTAGTTTCTGGTAGGCAGGACACCTGCCTTCGTGCCTCCTTAAATGAAATATTTTGTTTTACCTTAATTGTGACAATTTTCTTTTCCTTTTTCCAGCACGGGCATGACCGCGAGTATGCGGCATGTTCCCCATTACAGTTCGCACAGTGAAGAGAGTTTTCACAGGCATCTGATGTGTGCTCTTCAGCACTGCATTTCGCGCAAGCTAGGCGGCCTCGGCATTTCTGTGAACTGTGGCCGAATCGTTGGCATTTAAAACATCGGAGGGGGTTTGGTATATATGGCCTAACTCGAAGCTTGATATACCCAGCCTCAACGGAGTCGGGCAGTACACTTGAATTGAAGGTAAGTATCAGGTGTATAGTGTGGACTTCTTTGCCATCACGCCTCATGCTGGTTCGTTTTACGTTTATGATATTCTGTTCGCTGAAACCCTCCAGGAGCTCAGCCTCCGTCAGCCCTAACAGGTCATCATCTGAGACAACGCCACGGGTGGTGTTCATGGTTCTGTGTGGGGTTACTATTAATTTGGTATCTCCAAATTTCACGAGGTTAGGCAATTTTTTATATTGTTTCTGGTCGCGGAGCTCCAACAGGAGGTCACCACTTGCCATTCTCGAAGCTTTATATCCTGGGCCAAAGATTTCCGTCAAAGACTTTGATACTAGAAAAGGTGAAAGTGTTCGCACTGATTTGCCGGGTGTGTCAGAATGAATAACATGAAATCGGGGAAAAGATACTTTCTGGTTACCAAAAAACTTGAAAACTTCATCGGTGCGCCCTCTTTTCTGAGGGCGATCAGGGAGTGGGGGGAAGGAACAAGCCATATGTAAATGCTTACTTTCGGCAGCGGCGCCAGCCACCCACCATGGAGTCCTACAAGGGGACGCTGCAGGGTCTGTAAGTACAGGCCCCGCAGACGCCAGCTGTACGCCACCACTATAACCGAATATGGTGTATCCAAGGTAGGATAGCCACACAGGGTTAACCCTTGCTGCCAGGAAAAATCGGAAGTAAATGGAAGAGAGAAGAAGACAGTATAGATTTAAAGACGAGAAAAGACTAAGACGTAGAGAGAGAGAGAAATAGGAAAAGGCGACTACCGATTTCCCCTGGGTGGGTCAGCCCAGGGGTGCCGTCTACGTGAAGCCGGGGCCAAAGGGGTGTGTTGCCTCTGCCGGGGGGCCTTAAAGGTCCAATCACCCAGCGTCGGCTCAACCCCCAGGATCCCCTTTTCCCCGGACACGGCAAAGCCACGCACGGCTAGGCGTGGGAGGGAGTAGAAACTCCCCCGTTAGCTCGGGTCCATGGTGTCGCTACACACCAAACGCCTACTTGCGCAGGCGCCTCTGCGGGGAGTTGAAGCAGGAGCGAGATCACAGCATGGCGCTACTGATCCAGTCAAAAGGAACCCTTGGGCACCCCCTACTACCCTCATGTGACCACACTGCAGCAAGTTATGACGACGTTGTAATTGCCATTTTTCTTTAGTCGTGTTTTCTCCAGCAGAATATTACTAGGCAGCTACTCGCAAGTTCGTGGCCATGGCACATAAGTTGCAAGCTTTGCGTTCGATAACACTGCTGTCCCGTTCTCTATTGAAAAAAACTTCTTGATGAGAACCGCGCACACGTGAGTCGCAGTCCTGTGTGCTGACATTGGCGAGCGTTGCACCCAGTAGGTGGTGATAGTTGCACCCGGTAGCTTAACGTTCTTGCAACTGAAACTGACACTGGTCAATAAAAGCGAGCCTGAAACCAATTATCTGTCGCACACTGATGAAAACGATGTGCTGTATTATGACTAGCAGACTCCAAAGAACACGTCACAGTAAAAAAAAAAAACTGATGCTGATAGTTTTGCATCAGCACCCATTTACACCAGCACTGATTTTAATATTACTGCCTCCATTAAAAATGAGGCCGCTGCAGCCGGGATTCGTTTTTGCGACCTGCGGCCACTAAAACACCGTTGCTGAAGTACTTATTTCAGAAAATAGTATGTCAATAAACTTGAGTAATAGGATGTTCTTTGCTGTTTATTTTTCACTTGATAAAGATCGGGATGGGGTCTTCGTGCTTTCTCTCTTACCCCAGTAAACATAACCCGGTAAATGGGGAGGAACAGAATATTTGATGACAGCCAAGTTGTGGGTTCACAAATAAGAGTCAGATTTGAAAGGTCAATCCATGTTATGCAGCAAAGAGAACTTAATAACACACCTTGGTGACTGAGAGGAGGTCAAAGATGGCCTTGCGACCCATGTTGGCAGCCACTATGATGTCTCCTTGCTGTCCACTGTTGCCAGCTGCCACTGCCTTAGCAGTGGCTAGTGTGACGGGCTGCGTGGCACGCACCAGATCTTCAGGACCGGCTTGCCGCAACGGTGGCTCACTCGAGTCAAATGCCTGCATGAATACATTCTCAAATATGGCAGCTGTTTAGGCTAGTTGGTGCATTTGTGAACACATATTGCTGGGCTGCGCAATTGTGCCGCACTCACCTCCATCTGTGTTTTTTCACACAGCCCAGCAATATGTGTTCACATATGACACTCTGATCTTCATTATGCTCTTTGAAAATGTGGTTTGTCTTTGAGCTTTACTGTATTTACTGGCCTACTGACCACACATTTTTTTCTCGAAAAATCAGAACAAAGTGGGGGGGGGGGGGGGGGGGGCGTTTATTACACGGGGTAAACTTTATGAAAACATTTTTGGGAGGAGCAAAAAATACAGAAATGCAGAAAAAAAGTTTGGTCTCACAGTCTTTTGCAATGAACATATGCTACACTGTTTGAAAACAGCTTCTTTGCAGCACTTCACTCATCTTCGGTGGTTGATGGCGCTATCTTCTGCAAGCTGTCACCGGGTCACCCGCGCACGCCACAAAAAGCTTTTTGCGGCTATATTTTTTCCCAATCATTTACCTGCAATAGTGGTATTTGCTGTGATTACGAGGGGCGCCCAAAAGCATGCACTACGATGCACTTTGTTAACTTCGTGGGAACCTCGCATGACAACGTTAACATCGTAGCCAGTAACCAACATTGCAGCCAGATACTCCCAGAGTATAAAAACAAACCGTCGATAACAAGATTAACAACAAAATACGGCTGCCACCTCGCTTCTACATAAGAAGTTCCTCTACGCATGGATAAAAAGTGAAGTGAGAAACGGGGGTGCTACCATGTTGTAGAAATCGCCACAATCTTTTCAGGATGATAAGTGATTTTTACTGGCTTTTCAGAAACACGCCTCGTGATAGCAACGAATGACTTTTCGCGACAGCAAATCCGGTCATCGTCACTCCTCTCAAGCTCAAGCTCCTCTCAAGCTCCTCTCACTCCGTCAAGCTCAAGCAGGTGTACACCTGCTTGAGCTTTTTTGTATTCGCAGGAAGCAATCGCAGGTTGGTGCGGGCAGTTTCGTGACCTTCACTCGTGTGCTTATCAGCTGTGATGTCTCTATACTCGCACCCTTCATGAACCGCACTGTGGTGCTCAGATAAAAAGGGGGATGTGCCATGCACAGATAGAAAAAAAACCAATACGGCTAGTGGCAAAAGGCAAAGGGGGGCAGGGAGCGAGCTGAGGGGGGGCGACAAAATAATAAAAAAATCACAGTATATCCACGGACTGAATGGTGATGAGTGGGGTGAAGCGTTCGTCCGTCTGTTCATCCATCCAGCTGTGGGTCAACCTGTTTGTCCGTGTGTCTGTCCGTCTGTATATCCGTCAATCTAGTCCACCATATTGCATCTTTTCATTATATATTCATTATATACAAGTACCGCCATTGGGCATTATTAGCATGTAGTGTGATGTAATGCTGCATTATTAAAATTTACACGAAAGAGCATCTCAAAACAATCTCACGTACCTTCAGCAGTGCAGTTGCCATCTGCTATCAACAAGCACCCTTGATAAATTAATGCATCACTCCCGTCACAAGAGCTTGTACAATAATGCGCATAACGATCTGAACTCGCAGTCGTGCATTCACAACTCGCAGACGCAGCTCTATGAGCACCTGCTCAAGCACGTCACCTCCGCATACAATATGGCGTACCCGCTATCGAAAATGCATGCGCTTTCTCGAACACAGAACCATCAGACATGCAACGCACTCCAAGAGGCAGCGGAGACAGCGGTAGGAGGTGGCGCCCCCACTAACGGTGATCTGCGGCGCCTTCCTTCCTCTGTGCGCGGCGCCAAAACACACAGTACATAGTACGACAGTACCGGGTGCCGACCGTCAGCCACGTGCCAAGTGTGATGTATTCCGGTGCGTTCGTCACGAAAGCTAATTGAAAAGCGTTTCACACGTGTCCAATAACATGCTTCTGAAATGCGAACTTTTTTTCTCCTCCTACCTTTCGAAAGGGGTCCGTTTAATACGTCAGCAGAGTCATCTAGGGCCCCACAGCCCTATTTTCACTCTTTCATCTTAGAGTGCACGTGTTGTCAGTGCATGTGTTGTCAGTGATCGTGTCGCACGGCTACGCGAGATGTCATGAAAGCACACAGCTTTTTTGCTTGGCGAAAAGCTGAAAATCGTCAAAGAAGCCAAGAAGGGACATGCAGCCACAAAAGCAAGTATTTCTTGGGAGCTAAAGATAGCCAAGTCCTAATTGAAGACTATATTGCCTAATAAGGCTTCAATTCTTTAGAACACAATAAAGTTCGAATTGAAGTGAAAGAATGTGAAAGAAGGCGAACACGAAAATCTAAAGAAAGTCCTGGTGGAGCAGCTGCTTCAAGGGCGGAGCTCTGTCATCAATATTGACGCACCATCTTCAGAGAGAAGGCCGGCCATGTGGCGTTGCGCCTGGACATCAACGATTTCAAGGCATTATACGGGTGGCTGGATTGTTTTAAAAATTGCAATAATATCGTCTTCAGCCGTTCCTGTGGAGTAAGCTCCTCGGTACGTCTTCAGCCACTTTTGTGAAGAAAGCTCCTCCGCAGATGTTACCACAGTGCAGGAGTGGAAAGGGTGACTGCCGGACTTGATTGTAGCATACAAGCCTTGCAACATTTCTAACCCGGATGAAAGTGGCATATTTTACCACATGCAGCCCGAGTAGACCCTTACTTTGAATGGTGACAGCTGTCACGGAGGGAAGCCCAGTAGAGAGAAATCGACGGCCCTGTTCTTTGCCAACGAGGACGGTTCTGAAAAACTACCGGTACTCGTAATAGAGAAATTTGGCAAGCCACAATGCTTCACAAATTTCTGGGTGCTGCCTTGCAAGTATGACTTAAACAAAAAGATGTGGATGACGTTCGCTATGTTCACCAAGTTTCTACAGCAGTTAGACAAAAAAATGGGTGCAAAAGGGAGAAAAATTCTTCTCTTCGTGGATAACGCGTATGCCACCCACTCGACACGACCTGCCTGCGGAGCATCATCATCATCATCATTATCAGCCTGACTACGTCCACTGCAGGACAAAGGCCTCTCCCATGTTCCGCCAGTTAACCCGGTCCTGTGCCTGCTGCTGCCAATTTATACCCACAAACTTCTTAATCTCATCTGTCCACCTAACCTTCTGTCTTCCCCTACCCCACTTGCCTTCTCTGGGAATCCAGTTAGTTACCCTTAATGACCAGCGGTTATCCTGTTTACGCGCTACATGCCTGGCCCACGTCCGTTTCCTCTTCTTGATTTCAACTATGATATCCTTAACCCCCGTTTGTTCCCTAATCCACTCTGCTCTCTTCTTGTCTCTTAAAGTTACACGTACCATTTTTCTTTCCATTGCTTGCTGTGTCGTCCTCAATTTGAGCTGAACCCTCTTTGTAAGTCTCCAGGTTTCTGCTCCGTAGCTAAGTACCAGCAAGATACAGCTGTTATATACCTTCCTCTTGAGGGGTAGTGGCAATCTACCTGCCATAATTTTCATAATTTGAGAGTGCTTCCCAAATGTGCTCCACCCCATTCTTATTCTTCTAGTTATTTCAAACTAGTGGTTCGGCTCCTCGGTTATTACCTGCCCTAAGTAGACATAGTCTTTTACAACTTTTACAACTTTTACCTATCTCGAAGCACTGCTCTCTTCCGAGGTTGTTGTACATTACTTTCATTTTCTGCAGACTAATTTTACGACCCACCTTTCTGCTCTCCTTGTCTAACTCCGTAATCATGAGTTGCAATTCGTCCCCCGAGTTGTTCAGAAATGCAATGTCATCGGCGAAGCGCAGGTTACTAACCTGCGCTTCGCCGATGACAAAAGGACATGAACCTTCACTAGTACACAACACCTTTTCTGACAGACCCCATTTTGATAGTCAGTTGGCTTGGAATGACTTGGCTACTTGACTATCCAGAATGGTGCCACATGGTCAATGGTTGCCAACTGCTAGTTTGTTATTACGTGCTACAGCGGCGTATAATGACTAATTTAAGGCTGTGACATTTAAGACACACTGTGACACACTGTTTCAAATGTACATTTCGCAATACCAGGTTCGATACCAAAGCCAATTAATTACCCATGTCTCATTAAGCGGAACGCGTAATTTGAAATTTTTCCACCAAAAGACAAACTAGGCGGAAACACAATAACTTTATGACATTATGAAACGAATGTGTGGAGAAAGTTTTCACATATGAAACGTATTGGTGTGCAAAGGTTTTGAGGAATAATATCTAAGTGCTCAGTGCAATGCTTTTGTCATCCCCAAAAGATCCTTGACAGGACCTTTTCCGGAACAATTGTTGTCCTCAGAAACCATCCCAAAAGACGTTTCCGGGTCAAACCAGCTTGTGTCATCCTCAGTAAGTATTAAGGTCAATGAGAACTGTGCGAGGACGATTGTACCATATGAGGACGACCTCAGGACATTGAGTGTTGTCTGGGAAGATACTCTCCATTAACTCTTATCCCTAACTGTTTCCATTCTAGGCTTCTGAAAACCTCCTGTAAGCACGCGGTAAATAGCATTGGGAAGATTGTGTCCCCCTGCCTTACACCCTTCTTGATTGGTATTCTGTTGCTTTCTTTATGCAGCACTATGGTAGCAGTTGATACCCTGTAGATTTCTTCCAGGATGTTCATATATACTTCATCGAAGCCCTGACTACGCAGTGTCTGCATGACGGCTGATATTTCTACTGAATCAAACGCCTTCTCGTAATCTATGAAGGCTATGTATAGTAGTTGGTTATATCCTGAGCATTTCTCTATAACCTGGTTGATAGTATGAATATGGTCGATTGTTGAGTAGCCTGTTCGAAATCCTGCTTGTTCCTTTGGTTGATTGAATTCTAATGTTTTCTTTACTCTGTTAGCAATTACCTCCGTAAATAGCTTGTATACTATAGAGAGCAAACTGATCGGCCTGTAATTCTTCAAGTCCTTGTCATCTCCTTTCTTACGAATTAAGACGATGTTAGCATTCTTC